ACACGGAGAAACTCAGAAAAAATACAAGATATCTACATTCAAAATTATCCACACATATCGCATGCCCATTTTGCTTAAAGTAAGCAGTGATAAGCCTAATTTAGTACATGCTTGGTATGGGAGTTTAATCGAGTATGTATTAAGACTGAATCTTTGTATTTTATGCATGTGCATTTCAACATTGCTTCTTGCTGTTTGTTACTTCTCCTTCCTTTGGGCCATGATCTTTAGTGCACAGATATCCTTAATCACACAACCCAAGTAAGCTTAATTTTTATTCTTACAATTACCTACCCTGTCCCTTAGTGCAAAAAAAAGTAAATTGTGATTTGCAAGCTAAAATTGAAACTGAATAAGAATCTTGAAAGGATAAAACTCATCTTTCTCTATGGGAATTGATTCTTAGGAAGGATATTAATTCAGAACAATAAGAGCTGACCCAAGGAAGACACTGGTAAAAAAAAAAAAAAAAAAAAAAAAGAATAAATATGTCTGACACTGACAAACACAGATTAGAACTTATTCCCCTCTCTATTATTCTTTGTCTTGTTGGCTTTCAAAGTCACTTGTCGGAACTAAGAAAGAAAAGAAGAATTGTTAGAGTTTATTCAAACTGGCTTTAATTAGCTCTAATTTCCATGTGCAAAATATTGCATACAAAATGAAGGAAGAGTTGTGGGTAATGTTAACCCCTCTCATACTTTGCATATCATTAAGCTGCTGGCACACATAATATATGCCTGTCTGTCAACATGTGAGAAATGAATTATTTTCAGTTTTTACTGCCATATATGTTTAGCAACAAAATAGCTGCTATTTCCAATTTCATTTGGAAAGGGCTAAAATTAGATCCAGTAGCAGTCATAAATCCATTTGTATTTTAAATTGAAATGGATTAAGATTTGGTGGCTGTACTTTAGTGACTTTGAGAAGTTAGAGAACAACTAGAGGACAGAATAAAAAACAAGCACATCCAACAGCGAGCTGTTGATAAAGGGAATTAAAAATGCAGATATGACTACAGCGGGGAAGTGTTGTGGTCACAACCCAGCTGAACTCTTTAAACTCGTTTGCTGGCCACTTGAATGGATTAGTATGCCCTTAAATGTGTCTATGTCAGGTGATTGAGGCTGGGCACCGTTCCAACCAACTTTAATTACATAAATGGTGTTGTCTATAGCTGCACAGCCAAGAAATAAAATAGGAAAGAGGACAGAGAAATGCAACACAAGGCTTATTGTAAGATATAGTGAAATTTATGACTTCAAACAGCTGGATGAATACGGATATTGTTTTTAAAATACCAATTTGTTAAAGTAACTGCCACTATGGTAAAAACAACAGCATAGATACAGAACAGAAATGCCCTTGCCAAAATCAAGGAGTCATTACTTCATGCAGCATGATCCACTTGCTACTTCACATTCCTCTCAAGGCACTCAGACAGAGCAGAGACTGTCCTTAGAAGGCATTGAAAAGAAAGGGCCAGTGACATCATTATTTTTTAACACCATCACACCCTACTTTCTACTGTTGCTCCATTATGATTTTCCATTTTCAACTTTTCGGGAAATGTGAAACACCTGCTCGTCATTGTCCAGACTGGCTGAGACATGATGTAAGATGGGAAGGATCTTATTCATGGTAAAAGAGACAAGTAGCAGACACTCTTTAAACTCACTTATGGTACTTGTTGAGACAGCTGTAAGAGGAAAGGTTTTATCTCCAGTACTCTAAACACCTGAACATCATGTGTGGAAAAGATGGATTTTATGGCATGTGTTCAAAAATGTGGAGATTAAAGTACTGAGAAGGTTGGTAGGTTTAATAACATATTTTAAATGGTTACGTAATATTAAATTAATAAAATTGGTCACAGTGAGATCTTTTTTTTTCCGCTAAGGAGTGGTTGCACAAAACACAACAGAACTGACAATATTCTAGATTTTCTCATATCCATGCAAGGACAAAATTATATATTCAGGCTCCAATATATGCATAAACTACCATACATTTCTGGGTAAATGATTCAAAGCAAGATGCAAAGAAACCTCAATAAATCACGAATAAGTTCTTTTTTTAATTTTCATTACTTTTTGCAGATGGTTTGGTTCTTTTTCAACTCATCACAACTCCAGCTTCAGCACTGATCAGAGTGGTTTGGAACTGAAGTACGAAGACTTTTGGAAGACTATACTTAGAAGAATTGGTGGATAGTATTTAAACTGGCTGGTTTTGCCCTAATATGAAGTAACATGTTAATATGGATAGGGTTGTCAAAACAACAAGGCCCCATCTCCCTTTGTAACAGAAATGGAGGAACAACTAAAGACTTTTAAGCACATTTCAATGGGACACAACAGATTGCTACAACGTCTATCCCCTAGAACCAAGAAACATCATCTTGTTCTTGTTGTGGCAAGAACTAGAAAAAAGCTTGTTTTCCCTTGAAGCAATCATAATTCTCAAGAAGCTCAGCTGCCCAACTTCCATTAAGTCCAATTCACGGAAGTTTGTGTGAAACCCGCAAAAGAGAACACAACAGCAACAAAATGGGAGAGGAGGCATTTAGAACATAACCACTACAAACGATCGGATTGTGTTTATGTTTTCTTTCCTCCTTTACAAGCTGATCCTCAAACTATTAAATAACTGTAAAAACCTGAAATGAAGGAGGGTATTTCCAACCAAATATCAAAAAAGAAAAAAATCCTGTGCGCCTTTCCTATTCAACAACGGCAATCAAAAATCGTTCAGGGACACACTTTAAAAAAAACAAAAAAAACAACGGCAATCCAAATCGTTCATGTTATAAAAAAATTTAATTCTTGAAATGTCAGGAGGAAACAGACACACACGCACACACACATATAGGGCGGAGTGAACAAATTATGTCATTCACTACTAGAACGACAACAACTGTCTCAGTTCTCATAGATTATTAACCAGCCTTCATAGAATTCAAAGATAACAGCAAGACAAAATATTTTGGATAAGTCCAGAAGAAAGAGAAGCCATGGGGTTTTATTAAACTGAAAAATAGGAGCCAGATGACACATGATTGTAGACTAATGTTACCGAAAGCTTGCTTGCTAAATTGGAAATACAAAAAAAAGTGTACAGCTGTTTCGTGGCTGAAAAAAGTTTTTTCAGTATGCCTGGCATGAACAAAATATAATAAGGCACTAAAATTAGTAACAAAATGCCTTAAAAGGGAGTAGAGCTGTATTAAAATGCCCTGAGCTGAAACTAATTGAAAAAAACCTTTAGTATGGTGCCATTACCACAATGTTACAGAATGGGTAAGGTTTCCTTTGAGTTCAACAACATATGTTGACCTCCCCCGCATATCTATCTTGTCCTTACAGGGGCCTTTTTTTTAAATATACCGCCACCTGTGGCAAAAACACAGAACTGCAGGACTCTTCTGCTCGTTCTCGTAGTTCGTGCTCATACTTGACAAGGTTTGTTTTTTCTACGTTTTTCACCGTAGAGTTGCCATTGGTGTCTGGGTTGAGATGGATGCCAGTCGCTTCAAAGTATCCAAAAAATCCATATTGAATATAACACTTTGTTTGTTTTCTAGGATTCTAGCTTATCCATTTAGTATGGGCGTGCTTGATGTCACATCTACAGAACTGTGCAGGAACTTCTGACCTGAGAAATGTTCAGGAAAATTAGGCTACAGGCTAAAAGATGCATCTGCACTGAACCATTGAGGTGTCAGTCTGCTCATCAAACATTGTTTTAGTTCTAAAGGGTCAAATAAAAAAGCTATCTTAAAGATCTTTTTCAGTAAAAACTTAAAAAACAAGTCTCTTTAAGTCAAAATAAGTGAATTCTTTTGTTTCTGACCATATTTCTTTCCAAAAACAATGTTTCAGATGGTTGAAGTTATTCAATATTCATCACAGAGATATTTTCATAACATAACTGAACATGCTGCTGCTACGTCATATATTATAAAGTTTAGAAGGATTTGTTAAAGAAACTCATTAAGTTATTCATTCTGCTGAGTGTCAAGCCAGGCTTTTTTTAAATTCTTCAAACAACGAACCAAATGCATAACCAACTGAATAAGAACTAAGAATAAACCTCATGTGGGGGATTCTTATGTTATGTAAATAATAACACTTTGTGTTGAGTTAAAGTTGATGAGAGCTGTCCTAGGTGCTAAAAGCTAAAAAAAAAATAGGCTTGTTTTAAAAATTTCCATAAACACAAAAATAATTTATTTTTTTTAAACTGTGCTGTAGGGAGACCCATTGGCTCTCCTTCTACTGCGCTTAGATAATCTACTTGAGTCATTTAATTTCAGGTAATATTAAAATACAAAACCAAAGTCACATTATGGATTATTATTAACCCACATTTCTTTACCATTACATAATGTCCCCACCACTCTGTGTGTTTTATTGTATCAGCCACTAAAGTATTCCTGGTATGGCCTTTTAGGAAACTACACTCAGTGAACTGGCAAAATTCAAAGCAAATATATAGAGAATAACAAATTAGACTTGCAACATAACACCCCATGTAAAAGTTGTATCAACGCAGTTTTACACACACCTATACTTTAATGATAACAAAGATCTGCGATAATACCCAGCTCCATATTGTACTGAATACTACAAGTTACTGAATTAATAAAGTCTTACATGGAAAAAGGGTTTTTACTAGGGATGTCCCAATACTACATTTTCTTTTCCGAAATGGTACAGCTATTGCAGCTCGAAATATTGGCCAATACCAATATTGAACCGGTCCGATATCACCAATACATATCTTCATTACTTATTCTGTAGTATGGAATGCTAGGAAATGCTCAGAGATCAATGGTCAAAAGCAATAAGTATGAGAACAATTGAGCCATTTATTATTAACCAATGGGTTACATATTTGTTTTTGTGTGATATTGGCGAATATCAGATATTAGTATCAGATCAGGACATCCCACCTATATCTTCTCAAATCTTGCAAAAAAAAGCTTGATTACTTACCCTGAAAGTTGTCTAAATGACCAGACAGGAGGCTTTGCAGCTGATAGGTGTGGGACTCGATTTTTTGCAGAGTCTCTTGTTTCACAGCACTCATGTAGCTTCCCTCCATCTTCCTGTTGCAGCAAGATGGACCTTGGTGTGTACATAACTGCAGATCAGCATCTGAGAAAAGCAGAAACAAATTCCACAGCAATTATTTTCTTTTAGTATTTCTTTTCTTTGTGATTTATTTTTTATTTTTTATTTTTTTTATGCAACACATTGACTGTTTATATGAAGGAGGGTGAAAAGAATTTACACTCTTATGTAAGAGTTTATTGGAATTTTGCAAGTAGCGTATTTGCTTCTAATTGTTAAAATATGTTTTCTACTTGTGTATATTCCTTAAGTATGTTACAGTGTATCTGAAATGTCTGGCTATGTGCATAAACAAGCCATAACTCCTCTGAAAGACAGAAGTGGCACCATGTCATGGTGAGAAAGTAGACCACGTATTTCATCCATGTTCGACTGCTATAAATACTGTCTGTGCTAAATATATGGCCTTGCCTCAATGTGATATGAAGGCACATATGGTTGTTTCATATACTAAGGCACACACTTACACTTTTGCATTTAAATAATATAAAACTACCTGAACACGTATTTGTTTTACTTTAAATGGACATTTATGAATAAACAAGATCACTTTGTTTTATATAGGCTGTACTAAAGCAATGTATAATGGGCATAGGACTGGACAAGGCTGAGGCAGATGCTGTAATCAGAGCCTAAAGCATGGTGTAAGGCCAGACCACAAGACCACCGCCTTACTGGTCAAATCCCTCCATGAAACACAATAGGGTTGCATTCTGAATCTCTCTTTTGCCTCTGCTCCCTCTCTCCTATTTGTGTGGCATATCCTTGTGAGGCCAGGGTGTCTTTTAATTACACAGAGAGGCTGCATTTGTTTCCATCTCAGAGCCAAATAAATGAAGTCATGGCTGGGTGTCCTCTGGCTCTTAGCTCATTATCTCTAGCTCTGTAGGGGTCTTTTGTTGTTGTTGTTTTTACTTGCCTTTTGCTTAATGCTTTACCACCCATTTTTTTACACTGTCATGGTAAAAAAAATTATTACCAGGTTGTCATTTTATTTATGAACAAATAAAAAAAATCATCAGTACTGATAGACAGATTTCTTGATTATTTTCTTTTCTACATTATGTGGGGGGAAACCGGAATCATTTTGAATTAACTAACTCAACAAGCACTTCTCAAAAGTCTGCAAAATTTAACAAAACCAAATTCATAATTCTTAATAGTCTTAAATGTTTTAACAGCTATGATCAATATGATTAATCCTATGTTAAATATATATATTTTCTTAATTGTATTTGGTCCCCTCTGTCCATGACTCAGGTTGACTCTAACTTTGACATTTTGACTCATACATGTAGCAGGATAAGTAAGGGATACTGTATTTTAGCAAATGTACCGCTGCCTTCCTTGGCTTCTGCTTAAACCTTTATTGGTGTATTCTTTTACATAAATAAATTATTAACTGTAATACAAAAGGTTTTCACCACCATAAGAAATCATATTGTTGCCACATCTGACAGTAGTAAAAAAAAAATCTAAAAATACAATTTCCTGTGATGGCTACCATAATTACTGCTTGTAGACCAAGACAATGTAAAGCAAACTTAAAATGTTTGATGGACTGGACTTGATACATTTTCTGACTTGTTGGAAAGATCACCTCACAATTACAGGCCTTCCTCGATGGATTCAATTTGGTCTTGTTATTCTGATAGAACAAAAAAAATCATAGATAAAAAAAAAATATTCATCAATGTTTCTGGAAACAAAATCATGGAATGCATAAGTTGGGCCTCTATCTTGGTCAACACTAACGAGTTGACATCCAATATTTCTTCCACTTTGCACAAATAAAAATCCAGCCCTTATATAATTAGCAAGGTATGAATTTGGAGAAACTAAATTCAAATGTTATCAAAACTTTTTTTAATCATTTGTTTCCACATTACGTGTATATCTATTCACAGTTCTACTGCCTGGAATTCTAATAAAAAAAATACCAAGAATTTTCATCATAACCTAATAAAATCTTTAAAGGGTACTACTACATTTTCCAGTCACTTTTAATCGAAACATATATTAATTGCCTGTGATCATGATCCTTTTTTAGGTTCTTACATCTGATCCCTTTCTAATAACCAGGAGTAAAAGAAACAAAAAAATCTATAGTTCCTCACTATGTGTAATTAGCGACTAATGTACAAGCTTCTCATAATGTTTGGCAGAACCTTAAAACAGTTCAACTGAAATGTCACCCCTGAGTTTCATTTAACTGTTCTCTGGTGACTAATGCTTCTAGGGTAACTGGGCATGGTTTAAGGGTCTTGTCAAAATTTAAGTGCAAAGAAAGACGGCCAGTGTATAATTGTTTTTTTTAACTCACATGCCAATAACAAAACACTGATTAATGAAAGCATTTTTATGTGTTTTCCATTTTTTGTGGTGTTTCTCAGTCTAAACCAGCTTTACAAGGTGTATATATCAAAAAATTTTACCCACTTACTTTTTGCTACTGGTTAAAATATTCTGCCTTGCAGAGAAGGTTGAAATGTAATCCATCTGTCAACAAGCAAGATATGAGGTATACTATAAAGGCCGCCACTGTTTTATGTGCTGTTTAAATTTTCTAAAAGTGTATGGATGTTTTTCTTTGATATTCAATGATAATTGGGAAGGTGGTGCTTCCTAAATCAACTGTTTATTTTTACACAGTTTCAGAGAATAATGACTTTGTTTAAAAGTAGGCGACTAATACAGTTCGCCTTATACTACCTCGAGTAGTCTGTAACCTTTGAAGATGAAGAATATTTACACTGTGAGGTCTTTCTGGGCTTTCTACAGAACAGGTTGAATGAAAGCATATTTTAAAGCGGTCTTTGCCACATACCTGAAGTTTTGGACTACCTTAAAACTAAACTGGACTATTTGCTTTTCCCAGAGCCCAGGGTGGAACGGCATTCAGTGATTGGCATGGAGTCCAGAGCCACATCAGAGGGTAGAAGTTGGAAATAAAGATCATAAAGATAGATGTAAGGGTTACTGGGCAATTACACTCAGGCCTGCTGAGGAAGCGATTTACTGGAAGGGCTTTAAGACACAATTTTTCGTTTAACATCAGCTATAGCCTTAATTATGCCCTAACGTTTTAGCTGCTCTTTTGTGGACAAACATTAATCTTTGTATATAGACTTTTAGCTTTAAATAATGTAGTTGTAAATAATATACACTTAGAGAATAATCTGTTGCTCTGATGAGTATGCGTCACACACACGCACACCCCCACCAACTAAAACAAATAAAACATTTCTACAAACAAAACATTATGTAAAAATGATCTCAGAGAGATAAGCTAGAACTATGATTAATAAACAAATTGAGTGAAGCATTTTGTTGCACTTTACACGTAATTGCATTTCTCAAATAAAAAATGTGGTCCGTGTGGTTTTGAATGAAAATGTGGTCTCAAAATTGGTCATAAAAATGAAAATAGTATTTTATATTAAATAGCTGGGAAATGGCCAGTTGCTAAGTGTTTTATGTGTGTGTGCTAGTGTTTCAAGTAGGTATAGTAAGTCCTGTGTGTGCTCTGCACAGATGTAATTTTGGGGGGAGACAGGGGGACATGTGCCCTGCACTTTTTCAGAAGTCTGTTTTGGTCCCTTGCACTAATGTGTGTTTCCTGGACGGGGCCGCCTTTTACAGCTGCTTTTTGTGTCTCTGCTTCTGTCTCCTTGAACCCCAGTCGGCCTCAGCAGATGGCCGCACACACTGAGCCTGGTTCTGCTGGAGGTTTCTTCCTGTTAAAAGGGAGTTTTTCCTCTCCACTGTCGCTACAAACATGCTTAGTGTGAGGGATTGTATTTGAGTCAATGAGTCAATGCAATCAACTGGTTTTCCTTAGATAGAAAACTTTGTATCAATTTGACTGTATGATCTGGTTGAACTGTAAAGTGCCTTGAGATGACATGTGTTGTAAATTTGGCGCTATATAAATAAACTGAATTGAATTGAATTAATTACTGTCCAAGAGCGATGTTACGCTATAGTACATAGACAGTCGTCGAGTACTAGGACCAAGCAGAAAATCGCAGCTCATGCTGAAGCCCGCTTCCCTGAGTTTAGACCGCCCACAAGCTCCTGATTGGACCTCCGTCTTTTCTTGTCTTATTGGCTGTCACCACTATCACTCATGAGGAGCTTTACAAACATCTCATGCACCACTGAACTGGGTCTGGGAAATGTTGTGTAGAAAAACGTGGGTCTGCAAAAGACGACAGTTGGTGAGGGAGTCTGCTACTGTAAATTGGGCATTTTTTCTCCTCATTGGGTCACGTAATCCAGAAGAGTTGTAATATCAAGTATATGAATTTACACAAATCTTTCAATTGGTGCCCTGTCCGTGCACGCATTAGTGTGTGTGTTTGCTTATTAGTCTCATGGCCAGTTTGTCTGAAAAAAGAAAGAGACATAAGAGTCTTCTTTAAAAGTCGAAGTCTGAGTTACACTCAAAGAATTGTGTAACACCCCTCCTACGGGCACCTTCACTGGCTCCATAAAGCACCATATCCACTTCAAGATCCTCCACCACATTTTAAAACTTTCATTAACCTTGTAAAGTATATTTTTTTTATTAGAGGTACCGAGGTCTTAGTCCTCGACGCAGCCGACCCGGGTTCGGATCCCACCTGTGGTCCTTCACTATATGTCTCTCCCCCTCTCTCATACCCCCTTTCCTGTCAGTCTATTCTCGAAAAACCGAGCCACTAAACTTATAATAATTGTAAAACTATGTGTTTTTAATCTACATGGATTGTTTCACCCTAAATTGTCCAATTGTTCAAGTCATGGATCCATATATTTTGTCAGGAGAGGGAGAACAGAGAAGCAAGAGAAAGCTGAGGAAACAAACACAGAAGAAATACTAGAAAACACGCTGAACTTATATAAGAGTTAAATTAAAAAATACTTGCGTCCTCCCCACTTCTGAAATCAAAACTTCGTCCATGGCTGAAGCTGAAGTAAATTAAAATAACTACAGATGATGGTAATTTCTGAGAGCTATGGCTGTTTATCTTTGACTTTGA